GAGGGAAAAAAGTTATCCCCATTTTTTTTTTTTTTTTTTGCGATATGTGGGCCTCTCACTGTCGTGGCCTCTCCCGTTGCCGGACGCGCAAGCTCAGCGGCCACGGCTCACAGGCCCAGCCGCTACGCGGCTCACGGGCCCAGCCGCTACGCAGCACGCGGGATCCTCCCAGACCGGGGCACGAACCCGCATCCCCTGCACCGGCAGGCGGACTCTCAACCACTGCGCCACCAGGGAGGCCCGTTATCACCATTTTTGACAGTAACTTACCATCCCATCATCTTCATTAAAAATGTTATGAAGTTAACATGAGGATAGCTGAACAGAAAATGCACATAAGAAAAAGAAAACATGTACAGGAAAAGACTGATAGAAACAAGAAAGCAACATGATTTCTAATACTATTAAGAAAGAATAAAAACGAAAGAAGAATAAAAGAGAAAGAACCCACAAACCTCCCCCAAATCAAATTTTCTTTCATTTTGATATACTAAAAAAACTGAAGAGTCCAGAATTACAACTGAAGAGATACTAACAAAGCTGTGTGACTATTGTAATTACTAGTTGTAGGGTAAAACTTTAATTTTACATGTCCTATCTGAGAATACAGTTGAAACTGCAAAAAAAAAAAAAAAAAAGATCCAAATAAAGTGTATTTTAATGGACTGTACTGAACTTGAACACAATTTTAACTATGAATGAACAGATTATTCTTACTTTTTTCCCCTTAGTTACCAATAAAGCTGAGAGGCAAAAAGCCCAATAGGTCATCTCAAAATCTCTCAATCTTCCCATTAATTTACAAACAGTTCAATTTAAAAAACAATATGGGAATATTAACAACTAGACAACACTCCCTGATGAAGTCTTCAGTCATTCACCTGCTTGTTAATGTGATTGTGTCTAGTTCTAAGATTAGGGGTCACAGTATGGCTTGACAAAATTTGTTAGGAGGAAAGGAAAGAAAAAGATTATTTCTAAATTAAATGACTAAAATAAACTTCTATTAAAGATACCAAAAAGTTGAAACTCTCCAAACACAGTCCTAGCTTCAAAAATAACTATTAACTCTTGAGGCTCTCTTTTCAGAGTTTTTTTTGCTACTCTTTCCCCTTGTTCCTGTGCATAATTTGACAGCAAAAATGTATTAAGAATTTCCATAGGAGATACATTCAAAATTGAGTTTACACACATGTATTCTATGACAAAAATTATGCCATTCAGTGCAGTCTACATAAAGATACTGAATGTAAAGTATAACCATCCTATTACAAGTTTTCTGATTTTAGTTGCAAAAATCATAATTATAAACTTTTCAAGGTTTGCTCTGAAATTTACAAATCATGCAAAATTGAAAATATTTTAGACTTGAGACCTTGGCAATTTGAATCAGCTGAATTATTTAAATGCTGCTTAGCAAAGTAAAAAAAAAAGGAATAAAAAAGACACACAAGACAATCACCAAATTACTCCTCTTTCAGAATCTATTTCATTGAACTTAATACTACTTCTTGCAATCCTAAGGATATTTTAAGGAGAAAATCTGGCATACATACAGGGAAACCAATTGTTTTAATAATACCTTAATTCAAAAAATAAAATAAAAATTGGTATGCCAATCTTATTTAAATTGTAAAGAAAGACAACCATCACCAAAGAAGATACCCATTAATCCCTCTCCTTTCACAAAAATTACAGCAAACAACTGTAATGAGAAAAAAATTATTTATAAATTGTAATCTATAAAATTTAACTCTATAAACTGCTAACTGGATCTGCTGTTCTGCTGCCACCAAATGTTTATTCTGAATGCTCATTGTAACAAAACTAAGTAATACTTTGTTTTGATTCCAGACTAAGAGGCATTACTCTATTTATATGGGTTGCAGACAAACACACACAAAAACACTCCAGCCCTAATAACTGAATTCTCAGTTATTGCATTCATGTTACAATACTACATAAAACTTCAATAAAGGCTAGTAAACCTATCTGATCAAGGTACTGGGTTGGCCAAAAAGTTCGTTCGGGTTTTTCTGTAAGCTATCCCAGAAAAACCTGAACGAACTTTTTGGCCAACCCAATACTAATATAATACATGAACAAATGCATTTCTTCAGAGAACACCACCAATTTTCTTTATAAATACTTAGAAAACGAGGCTCAGAAAACCAGACATTTCTACAATAACAAAAATTCAATTATGGTCAAAATAAATATTTTATATCCTTTGAAATCATGAACTCTTTCAAAACTTACCAATATATAAAACTGGAAAATTTCATAACCTATATTAATTAGGCAAGAGATAAGCAAACTTCAAATTGTTAAATCCACCCTATCATACCACCAACAAAATACAACCCAATCTTTTGTAAACAATCTTACTTTAAAACGGACATTAAAATATTAAAAAGCTAACTTTTTTTTCCAGAAAGGTGAATACTGAAAGATTATCAATTTAAAAAGCAGTATCAAAAGTTCAACTTAATTACCACACAAATATTTTTATTAGCAGTATTATGACATATAGAAAACTAGAAATTTACTTATCAAAAAGGAGAAGTGATTTTTCACTTCTCCTATGAAAAAACAAGGCTATGAAAAAACAAGTTATGAAAGCCTATGAAAAAACAAGTTAATCTTTCTGAACCAAACTAGAAGCTATCAATATATTCTGTTTAACTAAAATGTTCACCTTAGTTGAATATGATGAGTAATGCCCATTTTATTCTTTGTGATGGAGACCAACTCAGAATGGCAGGTAGCAGCTGGGGGAACTATTCCATTAAGAATATACCTAAATTTAAAAAAAGAATATATCTGAATAGAAGAAAAAATTTTGATGAAAAATCCTTACTTGGTAGATTTCATATTTTTTCAGATTTTTAACATCAAGCAATGACTTATAATAGTGATTCTGGTATCTTTTATTGCATATTCATTCCTCTATTCTGTTATTGTTCAAAAAACACAAATAAAATTAGCCACAATACTTGGGGGAACTTTTAATTTACTTTGTCTTAAAAAAAAAAAAAAAATTAGGGACTTCCCTGGTGATCCACTGGTTAAGACTCCATGCTTCCAAGGCAGGGGGCGCGGGTTCAATCCCTGATCAGGGAACTGAGATCCCACATGCCGCACACTGCGGCAAAAAAAGAAAAAAAAAAAAAGTCTTCCAGAATGTTAATTTCCCTGCCTCAATAAGCATTTATAATTTTTAAAAATAATCAGCAATGATTAACAATCTCTGCATGATTATTTACTATTCAGAAGTACTAGGGGATAAGTTGAATCTGTAATAAAATCTGGAAATTTATTTTAGACTTACTATCATGAACATATTTCCTCATAATCTGTATCTTCCGAAGGCAATTCTCTACATCCTCGAAATAAACTGGCTACTGTTCAAATACTGTAGATTTACAGTACTATTATTTCTGAGTAAAGTTTTATAAGGACAAAGGGAAAGGGACATACAGTATATACCTACCAGTTGTTTTACCTGTCCCAAAATTAAATCCTTTACTATTTCAAAATGTCAATTTACATAATAAAATGCTGGGAAAAGTAAGCCCAAATACTAAGAAGTACTACTCTGAAACAAAAAAATATATGAAAATAGTGAATAATGAAAATGTGTGTATGTACTGATATAAATAAATATATATACATTGACACACAAACATGAGTTAGCATATTCCTACTACATCATATTTAGTTAGGATGAACAAATATATACAAACATACATATGTGTTACACAAAATAAAGCATGGTAATACCCATTTAAATGTAAACAGCACTGTTAGTACAAATAAATAGAAATCATATTCTTATCTCACTAAAGGTAATGCAATAAAGACCTTGCTGAGTACTAATATTTAGCTTCGAGTCTTGCAACTTAATATCACTTAATAATTTAATATTAATTAAAAAGTAATATAAAGATGTGAGAGAACATTTACAGCTGAAAAACCACCAAAGGTTTTAAAACAACATTGGAAGAAAGATTATGGGATTCACCACTTTGCTCTACACCTGTAACTAACACATCATTGTTAATCAACTATACTCTGACATAAAATAAAAATTAAAGAAAAAAAAGAAAGATTATGGGATTTGGAATGGGGTGGTTTAGGAGAAAGAAAACTTAAAGGACAAACTATTATCATGTAAAACATAATTTAAAAAATTTTTTAAAGTAGTTGTAACTAGCTGCGTTTTTTCCTAAATTAGGATGAATTCCAAGATCTCTGAAATGAATCCCATCTCAATTTTAAAATTTTAAGTGACAGAACACAATCTAACAAAAACTATCCAGTGAGATACACAGTTGTCTCTACAGAAAAACTAAAACCTGGAAAAGTAAAATATCCTGTGGGACAAATCTTCCTACAACTAATGCTAAGGAACTGTCTAAAATATTTTTTATATTAGAATTACACCGTGTTAATTTAAATAGAGAAAAGTGATACACTATCAAAACAGCCTGAAGAGCTTTTGCAAACTATATAGTGATTGCCCTGTTTATGCATTCCAGAATCAGGGGTTTGGGGAGATAGGAGATGGCTTAAGAAGAAGGGTGATGAAAATGTATATTACGGAGAAAACACCCCAGGTGACTGATACACTGTGTGGTATTTGACAGAGAATTTTGTTTTAAATAAGGGATATGCTAGTTATAGCTTAGAAATACTTTTTCACACAGATGAATTTGCAGAAACATAATTTTACCTGTATAATGAATAGAGGAATCAACTAAGGTGCCTATAACAAGTTAGTATTTCTTATATATTTAAGATAGTCAAGGCAAAATACTAAAGTTTTATGAAAAGTTGAATTTTGGTATGAACTATAAAACTGTCTGACATTATCTACAAAAGATAAAATTAGTTTAAAATTCAATTATAGAAAAACATTCTGGCTCCTACCCACTCTACTCAGGTATCTTCATAATAAACAAAGGTATTACAACAAAAGATTATAAAAACATTTAAAATACAATTTTATATAATTTTTATTTACACTTTAGAATTTAAACAACTTGCTGGGAACATCTTTTGTGAGGCAAAGTAGTCTTTTTTTAAATTTGAAACTACTTAAACTTCAAGACAGGCTCTCTAATTTTTTTTTCAAGGGCACGGCAACAAATGTGTTAGCTGAAAATAACCAACTTAATGATAATTTGTAACACACACTTCATTATGTGAGCCTACAGAGCCTCCCCACCTCTGTCTTCCCTGTGAAGGAGGTCTTTGTGTGCTTTTGTGTGGCGGTTCCACTGAATTCATTACAATAGAGATGGACATTTGATATTCATAACGATCCAACATCTGAGCAATCTTCTTTCGAGAAACACCATGTTTATTCCTCCTACCAAAAAAGAAAAGGATTTTAATTCTTTTTTCTTTTAGAATGTATAGGCTTAGAGATTAAACTGTTTTAGAGTAATAGAGTACAGATTTCAAATTACATTTTGCAAATAAATACCAGAAGATACACCTCACATTAAAAAAAAGGCTCTCTCAGGTTTAAACAATATCTTAAAAAGGCTTAAAGATACCATAAATCACAGCAAAATGTTAACTGATTACACCTTCTTCACACAGAGCTAACTACTGATTCACTGAACCACTGAGTTAATCTTCCCCTCTTTTTAAACAACAAAGTAAAAAATTATGAGATACTGTTTTGAAAATTATAGAAGAATTGAGTGGGCTTCTGGGACTGACAAAAATCAATATAAAATATATATCACTTTTAAAAGTTATTTTAGCACACTTGCGTTATTAAAAAAAATTATTATTGATACCAAACTATATCATTAGAGATACAATTTGTACACATCTCACAAACGTAATGTTGAGTGAAAGAAACTAGATATAATGAATATATACTGTATAATTCTATTTATATAAAGTCTGAGAAAAAATTAAACCATGATGCTAAAGCAAAGGATATTAAAAAAAAAAAAAAAAACTTTAAGGAAAAGCAAGTAAGTAATTACCAGGGAATTACGGAATTGTTACTGGGAAAAGGAACTCAAAAAACTTCTAAAGTGTTGGTAATGCTCTCATGACACGGGTAATGGTTAAATGAATATCTGTTTTATAAGAAATTTGTTAAGCTACATATTTATATTTTATGTACTTTTCTGTGAGTTTAATTATGATACCAAAAAGTGGTTTAAAAATTATTCTTGATCCTCAAAGAAATTTTTACAATGTATTCTACACTTGTAGTTTTCCGTAACTTGACTTGGACATGGCAAAACACACAGAACATATTTTATACTTCATGTTATAGTTCTAGATTTACTAAAACTAACTCATTTTTCCAGAAAAAAGACATAAAAGAAATGTTTAGTTTTCAAAACTACTGATGTTTAGGTTAAAGATGAGAAGAGAAAGCAAGAGAGAGAAAAAATAGAAGATCGAAAAATAAAAAAGAGAAAAAGAGAGATCTGAGGTCAAGGTTGAAATTGGCCAAGCTATAGAAATCCACAAGAAGTCAAAATTGATGATTCAATCAATTCTTTACAAAAAAAATCTGTCAAACTATACTAGATATCAGTTAAATTTACTTTATTTTGTAAAGTTAATTTATATTAAGAATTGTAATACATTTCAACAGTCTCAAATGTAAATAAAGCCTAACTGTATAACAATTTCAATAATTCATTTATTCAGCATAACCCAAATATCTTTAGTTTTTAAACTCTCTCTTCTACCTGAGGTGCAACATACACAGAGGCAGGCAAACAATACCAGATATTAATAATATTTATCAGTTTAACTCTTCATAAATTTGATTTGGCATGCAAGTCAGAAAGGGAAAGAAAGGTAACCAAAGGAATAAAAATTCAAAGGGAATTTTTCCCTTTCAAAAAGGGAAAGGCAAGGGGGAAGAATTAAATTAGTTGAACACCATACACAGAATAACAGTTTTAAGCTAGAAGAGGGCAAACTGAGGTGGGAGGAAAAAATGGTTTTACGAAGAGAGGTGATGGTCATACAACTCTGTGAATACACTGAAAACCACTGAATCGTACACTTTTAATGCGTAAATTGTAAGGTATGTGAATTACACCTTAAAGTTGTTACCAAAAGGGGGTTGTGTCAGAGTGAAAATGAAGAAAGAAAAACGAGTCATAGTCAGGAACACTAGGGGAAAGGGATAAAGGTAAAGACAAATGGAAGAGCAGGGTTGAATGTAATACAAGTCCACAATCTCTCACCACAAATCCTGAAATCTAAAATGCTCTGAAAATTCAGTTTTCTGTTGACTCATGTAGCAGCAAAGTCTAACCACGCCTGTACTCATTTGGCAGCATGATCTACTCAGAATTAACATTAAACAATGTAGAATCTTTCCTTTCTACTTAGACTGACCATTCGTGATCTGCTGCAGAAATATTAAGGTGTCTGATTATATACCATGCTGCCCCAAACTCTGCTAGGAGTGTTACAATTAGGTATATGCACTATATACTTCCTTTCTAAAATTAAAAAAAAAAAAAAATCTGAATTCCAAAACACACTGATTCCCCGAATCTTGGGTATGGGATAACGGATCAGTAGCAGTAAAGATGGGAAAAGGGGAGAGATAAAAGCACCAGGTGAAAGGGTGATGGGATCTAAAATGGGAAGGAGATGAAGTTGGAAAGGCAATGCAGAGAAATGGCCTAGCTAAAAAGCAGAGGGAAAAGTCCTAACTTTTCTCTCAGAGTTTTCCGGATCTCCATTAGCATTCAACAAACTGGGAAACAATGCAGAAATTCACGTAAGAAAAAATAACAAACACACTTAACAAGGAATATTTAATGAAATCTAACAGTGCAAAGATCCTCAAACACCTTGCATTGAAGTCAATGTTCCTCTTAACAGAAAGTGAGTAGTAGTAGTCCCTATTCACAGGTACCAAAGATATAACAAGCAAAAGCTCGTAAAGAAATTGACCATGTAAAGGAGAAAAAAAAAAGAAAAAAAAGATAAGGGATTACAAATTTTTTGAGTGCCTTACTTTTCTAATTCTTCAGGATCAAATTTCCACCAAGTTTCAGGTTCATGAAACTCTACTCTGTATCCTTTTCCTATGGCCTACACAAAAGAAAGGAAGAAAACAAAAACCCAGGGAATACATCTTAAAGTAAAAAGATGGCAGACAGATATAAATTTCACTTACACAATACTTCTAAATTTGCTCAACCTACAAAAGTTTTACTTTTAAAATAATACAGTTTATAAAAATTTTAAGACCACTTAATGGACAAATTCCACTTACTATCCTCAAGTTCAGGCAAAACTAACAAGATAAACATATTGCTTAATAAGCACCATTCTCAATTTTTAAAAAAACTAAGCAAATGAACACACCTCTTCAGAGAACAAGGACAAGTGTTTTAGTAATAAAGATCAATGTAACCAAAATTGCAGAATATGAAAAAATTGATAATATAAAAACTCTCTCATATCTCATATTTACCATTTCCACATATGGTTTCATTTCCCAAGCTTGTGTATTAGTGTTGTCTATTATAACTGGAGATCTCCCCTGATTGATAGCTTGTTTTGCTGAAATAAAAAATAAATTTAAAAAACAAAAGCAAAAAACAGAACTATTAGATAAAAATACACAAAATAAAATTTAAACATTCATTAAGAAATTTCCTACATCCCTGTACTTAAAACCAAAACCATGTAATCTTTTGAGTTAGAGCCATGAAAATAAAAGCACTCTGCTATATTAAATGGAATTAAGAGACATAAACACATGCAATGTATATTCTCCAGACCAGATGCTGGTTTTGACAAACTAGCTGTAAAGGACATTTTGGGGTAAATATTTTGTTGAACTTAACAGCTAATAAAGACTTCAGTCTAGAGCTTTCATTTACAGAAAATGTAGGAACAAGTTACATTTGAATATGGTCTGAGTATGAAAAGAGGAAAAGATTTATTGACATGGGAAGATGGAGACTGTTAAAAGAAAATGGCAATTTATAAGATAACATGGAAGTCTGATCTTATTTTGGTCAAAATATAAAGATGTGGGAAGGGTTACTAAGACACCAAAAGTTGTCTTCTGTAGGTGGTGGGAATATATGCATTTTATGCTTATCTTTATTTTCCAATGTTCTATAATTACAAATAATGCTTTTGAAGTAAGACAGACTTAAGTTAAAAAAAAAAAAAAAGTGCTATGGATTTACCATTACTTATATACCAAGTAGCTAAATACCACAGTTCAACTGACTGGATATTTCTTAGGACTATGATTCTGAAATTGGGAGTTGAGCTAGAATGGAACTGTTCCAAACTATCTCTCCCTCTCCCTATGCCATCTCTTCCCACATAAGGTGAGAATTAGTGCCACAGTGAGCCACTCATAATGACAGGAATGTGTGTACCTCTTAAGTGTAAACAGGCAAGATAATTAAGAACCCACTATAAAATTTAAAAGGCTGAGGCAAAATGCAATGATATGTAAGTTTTGCTGGGATTTAGAATTCAAACCACTAAGTTCTACACAATGAAAACACTTATATAGATGTCGAAGGGCAGACAGAATTCTAAAGGTTAGTTAAGTAGTAATGACTATGGTGGAATATCTATTTCGGAGAAGCTGTCTCTAAATACTACATTTAGAATCTAAGTCATAAATAGGATACCAAGATGCTATCAACTCCCACTGCTCCATCCCCAAACAATGATCAAAACTTTCATTTTTAAAAAAAGTATTAATTTTCCTAATCTCTGACAGGCTTACACCTCCAAGGAGTTATGTTCTACAAGAGAAGCTTATCTACAAGAGGAGCTTATTAACCAAATAAATCTGATTTGCAGGAATGGGGAGATTATTCTCTTTCCATGAATAATCATCACCCAATACCACATTCCAGTGCACTCCAGGAGAATAGAGCGCCTAAATAAACAATGCTTGACTACTCAAATAAAGAGAGTCATTTTCTTAAACAATTTAACCACCATACTCTAAGAAAGAGAATAATGACACCTTGGAGATATTTTTAACTTATAAGCAGTTAAAGATCAATTTAGATTCTTCTAATAAACATGAGGCAGATATATATTCCCAGAATAATGCCCGGCACTTAAAAGTATTCAATAAATATTTGTAGAAAAGAGAAATTTTGCCCTAAATTAAATGTAATGCTCATAATTTTCAAAATGTCTAATGACTGCTACTTATCATTGCTTTGAAAAAGGTTAAACATTACCTTGAAAAAGCCCCTATTTATTACACTAAATAAAACCAGTAGTTTATCTACACACCAATATGTTCAGCAAGTAGAATTCACATGGCACGAACATTTTAATGAAATATTCTAAACTAGTATTGCAAAAAGAAAAAAATGTTTCACAGAAACAAACTTCCCAGTTCACCAAAGGTATACTGGCTCATTCCACTTAATCACCTACTTCTACTCCCCTTAACTCTGGGCCAATAACTCCAAGCATATTTTGGAACTGTAACATCATCATTATTTGATTTGGGCAGTAACGCTGCAGCATTTTAAAAAATCAAAAAGAATTAATATTTTAAAATATTATGCTACTCTCTTTAAATTCATGCTACTCTCTATTTGGAGAAATCCTAGAACCAACACTAGGAAATAATCTTATAATCAAACTTATCTGACATTTAAACTTTTTACTCAAAAGCATCCTCAATGAAATTCCTTACTCTGAAAATTGACAACTAAAAAAGAAAAGCATTTATCCTGTTTTTCCTGTATATACTGTACTTTAGGGTAACCTTAGTTGCTAGTTCTAGGCAAGAGGAAGTTCTTCATTACAGAAGAATTCTAGCTACTAAACACAGAAAGAATGAAAGTCCTAGAAAATCACCATTTTGCAACCTTTAATGAAATAACTGATTAAGGAAACAATTCATTGTTGAATAAAACAGGGATTAGGCTGTCCCTTTGAAGCTACTGATCCTACCATCACTAAAAATGGGACAACCATTTACTTACCAAAAAAAAAAAAGGTTGAACCTAATAAATCCTACAAGTTAAATGATTACCACAAGGAAGCAAACCGACAACTATAGGCTATGGGACACTCTACAGAACCACCAACCAAGTTTCTGCAATAAGTTAATGGTACGAGGGCAAAAAGAGGGAAAACTGCTATAGATTAACTTAATTAAAAGAATCATAAAGCCAAATGTACTACAAAGACCTTGTTTAGATCCTGATTAAAACAACTGTAAAGAAATATTTAAGACAATAGGGGAAATCTGATTACAGACTACATTACATGATGTCAAGGAATTGGGTTTTTGTTTTGTTTTTTTAGGTGTGATAATGGCACTGCAATTAAGTAAGAAGATTTACTTGAAATGTGTGAAGTATGATGTCTAGAATTTGCTTTAAAAAAATACTTCAGCAAATTAAAAAAGGAGGGTGGAGTGAAAGCAAAAGGGTTGAAGCAAATATAGCAATATCTTGATAAGTGATAATAATTTTGAGTGATGGGTGTGTGGGCTTCAATATAATCTCTCTATTCTAGGTTTAAATAATGTTTCATCATCAATGCATTTTTAATTTCTTTTAAAAAAGAAATTATAGATTATAGTATAAGCATGTACTTACATAGTTCTAGATCAATAGTTTTCAATCCTGACTGCAACATTAGAATATATGGATAACTTTCAAAAAAATACCAATGTTTAGATCCACTCCAAATCAACTAAACCAGAATCTCTGAGGCTAAGACTCAGGCATAACTTTTTTTAAAAGGTCCCCAAGTGATTCAAATGTGCAGCCAAGGTTTAGAAAGTACTATTCCAAAATGAAAATAAAGTGACCCATATACCTCTAAAAAATGTATTAAGTAAATTTTTTGTAGAGTGACATCAATGAAAAAAACTTTTAATATTCATGGGCATTAATATTAAGCCTTAGAAAACATTAGCATTACTCAAGGAAATAACTTTTGGGAATACGTAACAAAAGTATCAAGAGTTTTCTGAATTTTTTCATGAGGTATAAAATAAAGTCTATCAAAATATCCTATACCTCTATTGTACCAGCTTATATACACTATTTACAGTTAAAAAAATATTCTAACCACATTCTCTGATTTTCACACCCTCAATCAAGTAGGGCAAGTACAATTATCACTGCTTCTAATAGATGAAAAACTGGGTCTCAAAGCTCTTTCAATGGCTTGTCAAAGTCATCCAGCTGGTAAAAGTAAAAAGTTGAGAATAAAAATTCAGGTATTCTGACTCCTAGTCAAATATTCTATCCCGGGAGACTTGGCCCAAAACAAACCTCTGTTCTGGTTCCAGTCATGGGCATCACCAAGTTGATTAACATTATACCTGTACCCATCTTGATGGTGGAAATAGTCATCAGTGCTGAACACAATGCCATCACGACTCTGACCAAGCAGAATTCTGTTAATAAAAGAAATCATAAAGGTGCCATTTACAATATAAAATCTATAACCGTCAGAAATAAGCCACAAAGGAAAGGTTATTAAATGAATTTCTGGTACATACTTATATGTATATTGCAGATAGACTAGCACAGGAGCTGAACCTTAAAGAAGCTTTCAGATTTCAAATATCACTTCACACTTAAATCTACATAGTAATAGCCAGTAATAAAAACTTTTTAAAGTGGCTTTTGTATTGCAACTTTTAAAAACACTCTTCAATCCCAAAATGATGTCAACTATTATCCATGATTTAACTTTAGTGAATTTGCATTTGGTGTCTAAAATTGCCTAAATTTAGTGCAACAGGTAACCTAAAAGACAAGTAAGCCTAAGCAAGCAATTTACCTGAGGAAAACTATATTTGATTGAAGACAGCTTTGATAAACTCATTCCTATGAAGCACAAACATCTATGACCTGAAAGTGGAACTTGAGGTTTAATGCTGTGAAACAACCTATGATCCTCCAGAGTAAAATCAAATTTAAAATTTTTAAGAGATTAAATTAATAAGTGAAATTAATTACTAAACGCTAAAGAATACTCTCTCAGAACAAGTCAGTGGTAATCAAGCTTTGTTCTCACAATATGATACCATCTTTAATTTCTAACCACAGAGAGACTGACAAGTGTTCAGAGTGTTCCCATAACCAGTGACTCATGAAAGAGATTGGAGGTGTGCTGAGAAAAGGGAAAAGACAGTAAGAATAATTTAGATCCAATAATAACAAAAATATTTTATTTATCTCCCCTCCCTCAACCATTAGGCAATTGGATATCATTCTATTGGGGTTGGCCAAAAAGTTCGTTGGGGTTTTTCCATAAGATGTTGTAAGATGTTATGGAAAAAATCCAAACGAACTTTTTGGCCAGCCCAATATAATTTCTTTTTGAGAGGGGGAAGGGAGTAGAAGGTGGTAGAAGGTATGATACTGTCCTGGGATGATCCAAGAATACTTCCTAATAAAAGGTAATAGGAAGGATTTCAACTATTAAGATAACAAACATCTCTCCTTTCCTCAGGTTATAATAAAATTGTATATATTTTACAATAAAAATAAAAACACATATATAAAAGTTTAAAAATTTAATACACATTTTCACTCATAGAATTATAGTTCAAATTACTTCAAACAAACCAAATTAATGTAAATGGTTTAAATTATTTGTTTGCTTGTTTGGGAGGCTGGAGTTGGATTTCTTTTTTAAGCAGCCACAATTTTCCCAAAATATACCATCTAACACATTTGGCATCTTATTTGCTTGTAAGAGATAACCCAGAATATAAAAATGCCATAATATTAGTATTCCAACCCAGAATATAAAAATGCCATAATATTAGTATTCCAACCCAGAATATAAAAATGCCATAATATTAGTATTCCAAACCAAAGCTCAATCACCTAAAAAGATCTTGATCATCATCAACCATATGATTACCTAGTTACACTCAACAATACCAGAAACCTGATACCATCTTTCCTAAATACCTTATGTTTCTTTTCTTTTTTCTCCTGTTCTATTACTTTATTAGGTGATCTGTCAGATGTTAATAATAACATACTACAAGAGCACAGGAGCTTTTGTATCCAAGAAATGTTTAACCTCTTCCAAATAAAAAAAAGTGGGGAGGGAAGGGACAGTAAATCAATTTACATCATTAAACCAAGTCAACATCAAACATGAGTAAATCTCAATGAAAAATATCTTAAATATATAAATCATAATTAAAGCAAGTAATTTTAGCTTGGAGAATTTTTTTCCTCCCAGACTGCTCACACATCTTTTCAAAATTCCCTGAATTATCTCCAAAATACCTGTATCAATCTAGATATATCTGATGTCATACCAACCATTTGAACCAAAAATAAATTATTTAAGAATATTAGTATTTTCAAAATTCTTATAGTCAGATTCTATCAGAACTCTCACAAGTTAAGACAGGTACTAAAATGGATTCTCAGAACATCAAAATTTACAACTTTGAAAAATCAAGTATCTAATAAAAAATTCAGATGTGGTCCCACTTAATTTGTATTTTTTCAAAATCGCTATCCTTTTTGAGGACCTAGTATGTGCCAAGCATCTTATATATATACATCTATGACCACATCGAATTCTCACAACAACCTTGCCAATACGGTATTAAACAAATCGAGAAACAAAAATAATTTCAGAAATCAGGCCACCAGAATTACATAAATAGTGGTGGGAGAACCAAAACCAATGGCTTACAAGATCCCTGCCTCCTGGAATTCACACCCTTATATAATCCCCTCTCCTTGAGGGTGGGTTTGAGTCAGCAACTAGCTTCCAACTAACAGGATATGGAATTTCATTTCCAAGATTAGATTATGGGGGGGGGGGCAGGAAGTGGCTCACTTTCCCTCTTCACATTGTGAATGGGGAGAGGTCCAAGTAGCAAAGAACTGAAGGGACTCTCCAGCCTACAGACAGCAAGGAACTGAGGCCTTCAATCCAACAGCTCACAAGGAACTGAGTCCTGTCAACAAGACTTGTGAGAGGGCTTCCCTGGTGGCGCAGTGGTTGAGAATCTGCCTGCCAATGCTGGGGACATGGGTTCGAGCCCTGGTCTGAGAGGGTCCCACATGCTGCGGAGCAACTAGGCCCGTGAGCCACAATTACTGAGCCTGCGCGTCTGGAGCCTGTGCACCGCAACGAGAGGCTGCGAGGCTGCAACAGTGAGAGGCCCGCGCACGGCGATGAAGAGTGGCCCCCGCTTGCCACAACTAGAGAAAGCCCTTGCACAGAAATGAAGACCCAACACAGTCAAACATAAATTAATTAATAAACTCCTACCCCCAACATCTAAAAAAAAAAAGACTTGTGAGAGATATTCCATGCAGATCCTCCCCAAGACAAGCTTTCAGTCCAAAACACAGCCCTAGCCAACATCTTCATCATAGCATTGTTAGAAACCTTGAAGAGGCACCCAGATTCCTGTCCTTCAGAAACTGTGAGACAATAAATGCTTGTTGCTTTAACAACTCAGCTTTAGGGTAATTTGTTACACAGCCATAGAAAACTAATGCACTCCGTGCTTATAACTTTCACTTAAGTAAGAACAAGTGAATCGTATTCTTTAAAACTCATTTTGAGAACCCTATTCCCCCAAATGGTCTACTACAGTTAATTTTCATATATTTTTTTAATTTCTAAGAACCATATATATTTTTGTAATATATCATGTACATTTAAAAATAGAAGTGATTGGCTTCCCTGGTGGTGCAGTGGTTAAGAATCTGCCTGCCAATGCAGGAGACACGGGTTCAAGCCCTGGTCTGGGAATATCCCACATGCCACGGAGCAACTAAGCCCGTGCAACACAACTACTGAGCCTGTGCTCTAGAGCCCGCAAGCCAGAACTACTGAGCCTGCATGCCACAACTACTGAAGCCTGCGTGCCTAGAGCCCATGCTCTGCAACCAGAGAAGCCACGACAATGAGAAGCCCGCACACTGCAACAAAGAGTAGCCCCCACTCGCCGCCAACTAGAGAAAAGCCCACGTGCAAGAAAGCCCCAAAGCAGCCAAAAATAAATAAATTAAAAAAAAAAAAAGAAGTGATTTTCCCAAATAATTTTGAGTAAAACTGACACTTCATGAACCCTTTACCTCCTGACATACTGAGTGGCCTTGCATACCACCCTGGTCCAGCTATCAATAAATAAAAAAATAATGCTGTCTTGTGTAGCTTATACTACATGCAAAGAGTGGTAAAGGCAAATCCTACATGAGTTCAAAAGGAGGATAACTGAGGGGTGAGATGAGAAACCAAAACCTCAAAAGTGGAGGCATTTAAGAGAACCTCTGAATAAGTAGAATCCTGAGAACAATGAACGGACAAGTATTATGCCTCCTGCAATGGACGGCAGCATACTAGTCCAAGCGCAGAAGGATATGAAGATAGGTAAGGACTAAATTAAGGAAGAAAGGGCCTTAAATACTATCCCAAAAGAATTTGAAATTTCTCTAACCCCCTATAACTCATTACCACATAGCAATACTAAACAATGTTATCTTTTAACGTTATCTTTTAACGCCCCAAATCAGTTCAACTCTGATCCTCCAAATCTTTATTCCTTTTTTCAAAGCTCATCTGGAAAGCTAAATCCTACACGAAACCATTCCTCACTAGAGAATATGTGGCTTTATAACCAATCCCAAACAACCATTTCTACTTCATTCAAAAAAAGTACTGACCTAAAGAGAGACTCCTGCTTCTTTAACCAAGCTACTCCAAGTCAGGAGTCAGGTATAGGGCTACACAAGTGATAGATATTAAACTGAAGGATTAGATAAGAAACACACTACCATTTACATCCCCAGTTTGATCTCTTAGCAGTTTTTGTAACTTCTCCCAAGTCCTTTAACCTGAACTCATTCTTTTTATTAGCCTGTACTCCTCCTAAAAAATGAAAAGACTATAATTCATCTCACAACACTGTTACATATGGAAGTACTCTCTAAGTTGTAAATGATAACATAAATGGTAGTTGCGACTATAACTTCCATTCTTACTATACCTAATTCCTCAAATAAAGATACATATTATATATAATCATCTCTGTCATTTCGCACTACAATTATGTCTCCTTGAAATTTTACTGAATTGCCACCACACTTTATTCACTTTTAGTTTCAACATACTCCAATATGTTGTTCCAAACCTAATCATTCTTTCTTACATTTATTCTGTACCAGAAGCCCTTGCTAGGAGATCTCTTCATCCAATTTCCAAATTTCAACTTTTCTTTTCTCTGATATTATATTCTAAATCTAGAAGAATGCCCATGCTTGTAAGACAACTTCACTCTTAATTTCTATTCTTTCTAAAGAAGCACTGAAATTTCATTTTCTCTACAAAATCTTCACTGCAAAGGAATCAAAATACATAGACTTAAATTCAAATTCATTTACAAAATCATAGCTTACAATCTAGCTTGAAATGTCTGCATCATAATTTAATCTTTCTCCAATTTCCTGCTTCTGAAGAAGTTTTGTTTAGGTGATTCAGAGTGTCTTACAAATAAATATAAAACATTTACAAAATGGTTCCTTGGACTTTTTTTTTTCCTTCGACTTTTTTATCCTCACCCAAAGACATCAAATAAATTTCCTTTTTCTCCTTATCTAGTATAAATCTTGAATCATCCTACATAAACTACAAAGAATTTGTATTGTTTTTCTTTGTGCTATTTTTTACAACTGCACAAATGTACTGGAATGCATCAATACTCTGTTTTTAAAATGTAAACAAAAACAGGAATTTTAAACATTTCAGCACACGATAAAACATCATCAGTTCTAATTCCATTAATTCAGATATTGCTCATTTCAAACTCCTTAAAGAAACCAAAAAAAGGTTCTCTCTGTCAATAATGGTATGAACACAGCACAGTTCTTAAGACACACTCAAAATTCCCTTCCGTGGGTTATCTCATTTGCTTCTCACAATAATTCCAGAAAAATAAGTATTACTCATTTTATTAACAGCGAAACCTGTCCAAGGTCACAAAGTGAAATAACTGAGTCAAAGCCCAAGTCTTCAACCCATGAATTCAACTCCTCCTGAATAGCTGACTTAAAAGGGAAGGCCAGCACAGTTCTCAAATAGCATTTGCTTTCGTCACCGTCCTAATTTTACATGGTGAATCTATATTTAAAGCCCTTAGCAGAATCTTAACATAAATATATATGCCAATTCTCCTTTCCTCTATCAGAAAACATCTTTTAAAATATTTACCATCAGATGCCATTTTCAAGTATAACAAATTAAAGATTTTTTACTAGAAACATAAAAGCATTTGCCACTGATTACAACTATCATTTATGATTTTTAAGTAATAAATTACCAAGTATTCACTTGGTATCCTTTACTTACCGAGACAATGTTGTTTTCCCAGAACCAGGCAAACCTCTTAAAAGAATAAGTAACTTCTGCAATTTATTTAACTTTTCCTCTTGAAAATGCTGGTTCATAAACCTGTCAGTTCCATTATGCTTGTCCACAGAAGGAGCTTTCCAGCATCCTTCACTGGTTTCACAGAAACCATTATTCGCATATTCATCTTGCACAGTGTAGCCATTTCTAGAGGGATGGTCACTACTGGTAATGTCACTACAGTCAGTATATCCATTGTTCTGATCAAAAGTCAAACAATTCCAGTTAACATGACAACTATTTACATAATATCCATTTTGCATCTGAAAGCCATCTTGGGCATGGAAAATATTTGATGATGGATTTGGTGGAACGTTGAATCTTTGAATATTTAAGTGATAGTTAAAACTGGAAAGATGAGGGTCTTGTGGTACTATATAAGAATGCACTGATTGCCACTCAGGCCTGAAGGAAGCAAATGAACTGTCACAAAAGGTAGGTATTACTTGTCGATTGTAAGGATATTTACCTGGCTCATTCCCCACGCACTGCTGATAACCCCAATATGACTGAAGGGCACTGGTAAGATCTCTTTTCTTTTCTTCTTCAGATTTTAACAGATTATTATGGCCCTGATAATATGGAATGAGTTGTTCCTCAGAGGGTTCAGGTTCCTTACAACTGCTTTCTGAATCACCTTTTTCATTTTCAAGCTCTTCAATTTCTTTGTAAAACTGGAATAATTCATTGTCAATCTCTGATTTTTTATAATTAAATTTCTGTTTCTCTTTTCGTTCTCCTTTCCCATCTATACGATTGACAATGTCTGCTTGATTCCTCCTTTCATTACATTTCTTTTTCTCAGGGGGTTTGTAAATGGGTCCTATAAATGCTTTACTTGTGCTATATATCTCATCATCTGTGGATACCAATGGAGGACGTGTATCCTGTAAAACTTGTGAATCAACAGAATTAATAACATCTGGTCTATTACCAAGCATCTCATCATGCACAGGTTTCAGCAAACTTGTAGTTTTGGTTTTGTCCTCCTGAGGATAACTATGTCCTCTGACATCAGTGATGGTCACAGGGACCCAATCATTTCCAGTTTTCTCTTGCTTTCTGTGAAAATAAGCATTACCATGATGGGGGAAAACATATGCCTCTTCAGTAGACTTCAATTTCTTATAGCATGGTTCACTTATTAGTTCTTCCCCATGTCCCATGGATTTAGCTTCAATTTCACCATAAGGCATCTGAGGAGCAAATAAATCACAGAATTAACAGCTAATATTAAAAAAAACTAAACAAAAGTTCCCTCAGAAACAACAGGAAATAAACTTAATTTGATATAAGCATTTAATAACATTTTCCCAAAATGCAAAAATTATAAAATTCTAACTTTATAGCCACTTACTATTGGTATGACATTATGATTTAAAGGAGGGATCTCACTGAAGGTAAACAAACATCCTTTTTTAAAAAAAGATGTATCTCATCTTTAATCTAAATGATATATTTCTGAATTTAGAGGATGTAAGCAAGAATGTAAGCAAGCTCGGAAAGCTGAATCAGTAATACATATTTTGATGACATAGACATACAACTGTGTATTAAAAGGGAGAGTAAGGACTTCCCTGGTGGCGCAGTGGTTAAGAATCCACCTGCCAATGCAGGGGACACGGGTTCGAACCCTGGTCCGGGAATATCCTACATGCCGCGGAGCAACGAAGCCCCTGCGCCACAACTACTGAAGCCCGCGCGCCTAGAGCCCGTGCTCCGCAACAAGAGAAGCCACCGTAAAGAGAAGCACGCGCACCACAACGAAGAGTAGCCCCCACTCGCCACAACTAGAGAAAGCCTGCATGTAGCAACAAAGACCCAACACAGCCAAACATAAATAAATAATTTATAATAAAAAATAAATTAAAAAAATAAAAGGGAGAGTAAGTCTGCCAACCAAAGTGACACATATCCAAACTGGTTGTGATAAATTGCATCATAAACGTCTTCCTGTTTAAAATCACTAGGTCTTTAGCAAACCTCAGACAACCACATCTCATTAGCAATCAAACGTCAAATTAACTGCAATGTCAGTCTTTATGGGCCCTACTCTTACGAGTAGTGTAAAAGAGGTTTCCAAGTGGGTGTATTACGTTAATTTTAAAGAAAAAAATAATAACTTCAGTTGTACTGCGAATGATGGAAATATGTCATATTATGTTTAAAAACTAAATCTGGCAACTCCCCAAACCAAAGCCCTCTTCTTTTCCAGATGGTCTGTCTATCTCGACGATAAATTCTGCTTCCCTTGAAATTTTCTGGGGGACCCTCAAGAGTACAATTCAAAAGCCTCTGTTAGTCAACACTTCATTCCGCCCGCTCTCTGGTCTCCCCTTCTCGAACACAAGAGCAAAAGGAAAGGGCAAAGCGACGAACCAGAATGACACAGGTAGGCCCTAGAGAGGCTGAAAGAAGATACACCTGTAGAGAACGCCGTCCTCCCGGAAACAGCCCCGTCCCAGGCCGCCTCTCACCTTCTCATTTCCTCATTAGAAACGGCAGAAAAGTCCCAAGGAAGAGAAAGGAGGTTGCATTAAGAGAGGCCTATACACAACCTGAACCCTAAGGCCTCCTGACCTCCAAAGAGGGCAGCCCGGGCAAAAGCGCGTCACCCAATTTCTCTATCCAAACGGAGACACGTTCAGGTTCTGTCTAGGAATTCCAAAGAGCTCCGAGGCCGAAAGGTTTACTCCCGGCTTCTACGTTTACGGCTAAACGAAAAGGTTCAGGCAAGCGCAGGGGAGAACCCAAGTCGCTAATGGAAGAAGGAAGAAACCGGAAAACGTCAACACCACAACCCCACCTCGCCGAAAATGGGATGTCTACTCACCTTATAACACAGTTCTGCATTGACCTTTACCTCTCAATAAAGAAGGTGAAAGAAGCACAGAGACACGGCCCAAAGCAGACACCGGGAGGGACTAAAAGCCCGAGCCTCAGGAGCGGAGCTACAAGCCTGCCCTCCGTACGCAAGATGGCGGCCACCTCACGGTTGCCCCGGCAGGAATTACGGATTTCTCGCCAGGCATTGTGGGAATTGAAGTCCGGCGTTCACACCCGGCCTGGAAACTTCAGCCTCTCCCAGAATCCATTGCTTGACACAAGCGCTAAGGGCCACGAACGTAGACCGGAACTAGTTCTTAGGTTGGCGCCGGGAGGTTGTTTAGAAATAGCAACTTCGGCTAAGAAAGGTGGCGTCCTGCTCTTTAGGGCCACCCCTGAAGGAAGAGAGACTGTGAGTGTCTGGCTCCGCAAATAGAGACATAAGCTGCTCTCAGTGCATGTTTTAAAGTCTTTTTAAAGGGGAGTTAACATTTGGTCTCGTCAACTTGGGTTGCCGACGTTTCTATGAAATGCCAGTCAGTAATTGCAGGCTCAGGTTTTTCTATCGAAGAAGAGAATCGCTGCGGCAGAGCCTTGATAACAGAGAAAAGTACTTATGAGAAAAATCACTTCTTGTCACAGCTGTCTTTTGTTTTGTTTAAGGAAGTAAAGACCGTTTCCTGAGCTTTCCCATTAAAAAAGTCGATTTGTGAAAAGCGCTTCTATAGAACAGCGCTTGGTAAAAATAAGTGCTTTGTAAGTGTTTGTTAAATGAGAAATAACTACAAACCGAACAACTGGCAATCCTCAGTTGAGGGTCCCTTCCCTCTTCCCACCACCTTCCCACTCTCTCTAGACCCGCTCCTTCACATGCGCTCTTTCCTGTCCCTGAAAGGGAAACTGCTAATCTCTTCATACGTATTTAAATAAACCCGTTGCGATAGCGTTTTAATTTATAAATATAATAGTTAAAACCACAGTCTGGAATATTTACATTTGATTACTTAACAGCCTTACGACCAAGAGGGCTCACCAAAAGCAATCCATCGCCTTGCAGTGAAAGACTCGTCCTGAAATACAATTTCTCTCATCGACCTTTATTTGATCTTTCCTTGTGATTAGATTCAAATTATGCATCATCGGTGGAAACAACCACATAAGTGAAATTGTGTCCTTCCTCGGGATATTACATCCGGAGGCACAGGATGTCTGTCTGTCCATTATAAGGTGATATTAATTTTTTATCACCGGATCAAGGTGTTGTCCAGTTTCTCTGCTGTTTGTTTTCCCCCTTGCAACTCATAAGCAATCTGTGAAAAGATACTTTGAGACCAAGCTGTCTTGTTCCCAGTCAAACTCTAAGGTTTTGCCTCCATTGATGATCCTTACTGCAATTGATCTTTGCAATGATAGTTACAAAATGTTGATTTTTTTTCCCCCTAACTCCTTCAAGCCCTCCCCATTTATTAGTCCTGATGCTACTATAAAGTAAAGCCCTCCTTACTTATTTACTATCAGTATGAATTTATGAATTCTTTTTTGTTCAAGGCGTTATAATCCATTGCTGTTCTTATTTATTTATTTGTTTGTTTATTAATAGACTATTTTTAGGACAGTTTTAGGTTCAGAGAAAAATTGAGTAGATAGTACAGAGTTCCCATGTATCCCCCTCACCCCACATACAGTTACCCCTATTATTAACCTCTTACAGTATTATGGTACATTGTTACAATTAATGAACCAATTTTGATGCAGTAATATTATGTACAGTCCATAGTTTTCCAGATTTCCTTACTTTTTACCTAATGTCCTTTCTGTTTCAGGATTCCATCCAGGATACAATATTATATGGAGTTGTCATTTCTCCTTAGGCTCCTCTTGGCTGTGATAGTTCCTCAGACTCTACTTGGTTTTGATGACTTTGGCAATTTTGAGGAAAACTGGTCAGGTACCATGTGGGATGCTCTTCTGTTGGAATTTATATATGCTTTTCTCATGATTAGACTGGGGTTATGGGTTTTTGAGCGGAAGACCGCAGAGGTAAAGTGTCATTTTCATCACATTGTAACAAGTGTACATACTACCAACATAATTTATGATTGTTTATGTTGCACTTGATCATTAAAGTCGTGTTTATCAGGTTTTTCCACTGTAATGTTACTCTTTCCACCCCCCCCCCCCCCC